CTCACCCCCCTCATCCCTCCAGCACTGCTCTCCCGCCGTACCCGCCTCACAGCGCTCACCTTTCAGTTCCCTCCCACGCTCCTCCCCCCTCCTACATGCCGCAGCACCCAGAATCCCCCGCACACAGCCGCTACGGGGACGTGAGGGAGAAAGTGTACGTCAACCTGTGCAACATCTTCCCCTCGGAGCTGGTGAGCCGGGTGATGGCCAGGAGTCCCCACATCACAGACCCCCAGCAGCTGGCAGCCGCCATCCTTGCAGAGAAAGCCCAAACAGGCTACTGAGGAAGGAAGGAAAATGTAATCTCCCGTTAGAAAAGCAGTTATGTAGTGTGGGTAGAAATAGGAAAATTTGCCTTTGCAACACTTGAAAGCACGTTGGGTTTGCAGGGTGGAATTTTAAATACCGGAATGCTTTTGGATTGTCTGCAAGGAGAGCTTTTTCTTTTCTTATGACATTAATGAGACAATGCATAAGCTTCAAGAATATAAAATGCTGAAGATAATCCAAATCCAGCTCCGGTCACTGCGCAGCGACAACTAAATCAACTCAACTTTAAGAAGTGTGGAGAGAGCGAGTCATTTGACTTGAAATCTATGACTTTGACACAAAGTGCGACTTGGGGTGCCCAGTTATTCTTTTTTTTATTTATTTAGTAGCTTATTATATGTTTGTTTCACATGAAGGACTTCTTACGCATCAAATTCAAAAGGCACTTTTTTTTTGTTTTACAGTCAAATCATAACCTAGTGAGTTGGTATCACACATCAAATATGACTGATATGAAGGATTATTTAATTAATATTGTGTGTTTGATGGATGGGATGAAGAAAATGTCACAGATGAGTATTCAAACTTCATTTCAGATATTTCAGATCTTCTCAGTTTGTTAAGTGGCAAATCCCCATCTGGTAGTCCATTATCACATGACGGTTCCAAACTACTATTTGACCGAGGTCTGTGTATTATATTAACCTCTGTGTGTGTTGTGTGGCCATTTGTGGGGCGTTTTTCCATGTTGATAAAAATGGGTGTCTGAAAGATTGACGTCTTATTTGAGATGACGTCAGTATTTTGGTCCGAGTTGTAGCTGTAGAGATGGGTGACCCTGTCGTGTGTACCTTAGTTTTAGTAAGGGACATCTCTCTCTCTCTCTCTCTCTTTCTCTCTCTATCTCTCTCTCTCTCTCTGGCCCTTTATTTTGGGTCAACTCTGGCATCTGCTACAGACAGAGAACATCTGGACATGGATAAACAAACATGTGTGTATTGTAAATATATTTATCAGATTCCCCTGCTGTGCTTTTGGCTAACAGCGTCTACTGTTGTCTGTAGCAGATCCCAGCTGAATCCATGCTAGACGGAGAAAAACCTTGTTTGATACAAATTGTATCATTAACTAAGTCGCTGATGTTATATACAGTACATGGACTTGTTGATCTGTATTTATCAAACACTCTTGATGTATTGCTATATGATGAAGTGCATTGACAACAGTTATGTTCCAATCGAGATGTTCCAACTTTTAATCTTGTGGAAATTGCTTTGAGACAATTATTTCACATGTTATGAAACAAAAGGGGTTGTCTGCCTACTATGTTTAGGTATCGCAACTTCTTTATCTGCGCTTTTGGGTTTGAAGCTGGCTTATTTTCTACAGGAGCTCCAGTTAAATCATGTGTGAGAAATATGCTTTGGTTTAATGGTTAACTCCCATTTGAACACAGAGGTGAAGTTTTTTCATGGTATGGGGTCAGTTCATTTTTTAGCTTGTCTTCTAAGTCAGAAAGTAGATATCTTCTAAAGCAACATAAAATGTTGAGCTTGAAATAATAGAAAATGATATAACTAATCTATAAAATTGAGTGGACAGACCCCAACCATGTTTTAATAAGTACATTTTTATATTTGGGTTAGTCCCATATCCCATGGTGGCCATTTTGAACATCTGAAACACTACAAAGCTCTACCTGGAGTATGTGCAGATATATAAAGCAATTTTTGCCCTTAACAAAAAGATGAGGTCTTCATAGAACCAGAAATTATACAGTCAGGAAAAAAAAACCTCAAGAATAAAAACTAAAGTTGCTTAAATGTAACAGTGTAGCTAGCTAGCCTGCTAGCTGCTTTCCAGACACAAATGTTTAAAGTTTCTGTTTTTATGGACAAACTTTCTTTAACCATAGTGTGTTAAAGGGTGGTAACTAACAAATAAATTACATATAAACAAAGAAAATATTTCAGTTCACAACACTAAAGAAAAATTCTAACTGCTGAGGCTACTTGAGCACAAGCTAATGCTAACATTTCCTTGTGTCATTACTCACGTGTTCGACCTCGATACATGGCAACATTAAAATGTTAGCCAGCTGTTTATTAATCTGGTTTCTTGGGATTGTTTTGTTTTTAATAATGAATTAATCAATAGTAAATGTTTGTCAGGTTCTAACATGTTTGCAGCAGGAGGACATAGTTTGATTGTACTTGATCAGGTAGAGCCCAACCAAAGTGTAATACAAGTTCAAAATGGCCGCCAAGGAATTTAAGTCTACAGAGTGAGCTCGTCATACAGTTCATCACAAGCCAGCTACATAAAGCCCACTGGTTTCTTTCCTTTCCAACGTGTCACATTGTACAAATAATGAATAATTGTACAATAACACGTGCTGTTGATGAGAGAACCTTTGTGTGTATTGAAGAAGCGCCTTCTCTCTGGCCTCCTGGCACTGTGTGTCAGTGTGGCACCGGAGCGTGGGCCCAAAGTAATGCCTCTTCATGGCATTGTGCTTATGACACATCCAATACTCTGAACTATGTTCAGCTAACTGTTATGCATGTTTTGATTTGTCTTGGTTTCTGCATGTTTCCTTGTGTTTAATTTGTGTACATAGCTGTGATTCTGTCCTGGAAGTTTGTCTTGCCGTTACTGTGACATGATGCTAGCTGTTGAGATGCCTGTACACTAAAACTTGTTTTTCTGCTCGTTAATGTTTTCTTGCATCAGTTAGTGTTGATTTCAGTGCACCTTCCTTTGACATTCAATATAAAGTCAAGTGGGAGTGCTATTTGGTTTTCTATAAGACTTGACATTTACTCTAAAATGATCAGGAAGCATGTTTTAGAATGCATCCCACTTTTCTCTAGCATTGTTTGCTTTGGAAGTGCACTCGGCCATAGATAGTGATAATGGAAACCATCATCAGTTATGATAAATTTACTTCTGTGCTGTAGATATTACAATGCTATATAGGCCAGTACACTCTGTTTGAAAATATATTTACATTTTGCCAGTAGACTACACAGTGTAACTAACTGATTATTGTAACATCACCTGTAACTGTTGTTGTTCATTAAAGAGAGTACTGCTATAAAACGTGTATATATTGACATTGTAGTAGTAGGCTTGTTTTAAGTGGCAATCCCAATTTTGGTGCACAATACTACTGCTTATTACCGTTAAAAAGAAAATGATTTAGAATTCTTTATTTACAAAACTGTCTTGTGCTTTACTGAATTATTTATATTTTCCTGTAACAGTAATAGATTACTTAGTATTATATTGAAGTTGCTCTGCAGACTTATATTAGACGTATAAAAAATAGTCTGCTTGGAACAATGTGTGTCCGATATGTTTTTCCCACAAAAAAAGTGTAATTTCCACATCTTTAAAAAGGCATCTACTCCTCCTCCCTCATTAAAAATGTCAGAATCTATGAATATGAACATTTTGTTGATTTCTAACGTTTTCCTGTTGGACACAAGATGT